CTTTTCTTTCCAAAACTATTGAGCGTGCCGTCTTTAGCCAACTCTCTTGCTATCTCTCTCAGAATGACCTCCTTGATCCAAACCAGTCAGGTTTCAGGACTGGTCATTCAACTGAGACTGCTCTTCTCTGTGTCACGGAGGCTCTCCGCACTGCTAAAGCTAACTCTCTCTCCTCTGCTCTTGTCCTTCTAGACCTGTCTGCTGCCTTTGATACTGTGAACCATCAGATCCTCCTCTCCACCCTCTCCGAGCTGGGCATCTCCGGCGCGGCTCACTCCTGGATTGCGTCCTACCTGACCGGTCGCTCCTACAAAGTGGCGTGGCGAGAAGCTGTCTCCACACCACGTGCTCTCACCACTGGTGTCCCCCAGGGCTCAGTTCTAGGCCCTCTCCTTTTCTCCCTATACACCAAGTCACTTGGCTCTGTCATATCCTCACATGGCCTCTCCTATCATTGCTACGCTGACGATACACAACTAATCTTCTCCTTTCCCCCTTCTGATAACCAGGTGGCGAATCGCATCTCTGCATGTCTGGCCGACATATCAGTATGGATGACGGATCACCACCTCAAGCTGAACCCTGGCAAGACGGAGCTGCTCTTCCTCCCGGGGAAGGACTGCCCGTTCCATGATCTCGCCATCACGGTTGACAACTCCGTTGTGTCCTCCTCCCAGAGTGCGAAGAGCCTTGGCGTGACCCTGGACAACACCCTGTCGTTCTCCGCTAACATCAAGGCGGTGACCCGATCCTGCAGGTTCATGCTCTACAACATTCGGAGAGTACGACCCTGCCTTACACAGGAAGCGGCACAGGTCCTAATCCAGGCACTTGTCATCTCCCGTCTGGATTACTGCAACTCGCTGTTGGCTGGGCTCCCTGCCTGTGCCATTAAACCCCTACAACTCATCCAGAATGCCGCAGCCCGTCTGGTGTTCAACCTTCCCAAGTTCTCTCACGTCACCCCCCTCCTCCGCACACTCCACTGGCTTCCAGTTGAAGCTCGCATCCGTTACAAGACCATGGTGCTTGCCTATGGAGCAGTGAGGGGAACGGCACCTCCGTACCTTCAGGCTCTGATCAGTCCCTACACCCAAACGAGGGCATTGCGTTCATCCACCTCTGGCCTGCTGGCTCCCCTTCCTCTGCGGAAGCATAGTTCCCGCTCAGCCCAGTCAAAACTGTTCGCTGCTCTGGCACCCCAATGGTGGAACAAGCTCCCTCACGACGCCAAGTTGTAAAGTGGTTATCCCACTGGCTATAGGGTGAATGCACCAATTTGTAAGTCGCTCTGGATAAGAGCGTCTGCTAAATGACGTAAATGTGCCCTTGAGCAAGGCACTTAACCCTAATTGCTCCTGTAAGTCGCTCTGGATAAGAGCGTCTGCTAAATGACTAAAATGTAAAATGTAAATGTAAATGGGATTAGGGCTCTTGCGCAGAAGACTCATTGAAGTACAAGTCTTCATCCAAATCGAGGATATTGACTGCTGTTCTGATGTCCAGAAGCTCTTTTCGGTCATAGGAAACAATGGCGGAAACATTATGTAGAAAGAAAGTTAAGATCAAAATCGTCAGGAGCCTGTCAAACAGTGTCTGTACATCCCAGCGCCATTGTTCACATACTATGTAGTGTACATTATCTTAATTTGGTTCAAAATTCATTGTTCCCTGTATGGCTTGGTGACCAGAGGAGTCTTGTTCTTTCAAAAGTTAAAAACAGAACATCCACATGAAACTGCATACCTCTAGCCTGAGAAGCCCAGGCTTCTCACACAAGTCAATGAGACGAGATTTGAAAGGATGGCCACGCAAGACTAAGATCCATCCAGCCCCACAACCAATACCAGTGTCTCTATGTCTCAGTTCCCATAGTAACACTAAAGGCAACTGTTCCCAATGTATCGTTCTATGTTGTTGAGTTTCAAAATGCATCTTCTTTTGATGGTGTGTCCAGATGCTGTGGTCAAAAGACAACCCATAAGCATTACCTATTTTTCTCTGTCTTTGCTCAGCCTCAGAAAAACAGAAGTGGTCTGAGCTGAAAGAACCACTGAGAGAAGGACCAGTTGCAGACCTATTCATTCTTCTTTTAGATTAGCTACATCCTTGGTTTCAGTTACATTTACATCTCTAACAATTGAAATTCCCTCCATTACCAAGGTGGGGTGGGATATGAGCCTTTAGAGGAAATGGTTTGATATACGAGTGAACCTTTAGTTTGTAAACACATATATAAGTATTTGATCCCCTGCTGATTTTGTACGTTTGCCCACTGACAAAGAAATGATCAGTCTATACATTTAATGGTAGGTTTATTTGAACAGTGAGAGACAGAATAACAAAAAAAAAATACAGAAAAACGCATGTCAAAAATGTTATAAATTGATTTGCATTTTAATGAGGGAAAAAAGTATTTGACCCCCTCTCAATCAGAAAGATTTCTGGCTCCCAGGTGTCTTTTATACAGGTAACGAGCTGAGATTAGGAGCACACTCTTAAAGGGAGTGCTCCTAATCTCAGCTTGTTACCTGTATAAAAGACACCTGTCCACAGAAGCAATCAATCAATCAGATTCCAAACTCTCCACCATGGCCAAGAACAAAGAGCTCTCCAAGGATGTCAGGGACAAGATTGTAGACCTACACAAGGCTGGAATGGGCTACAAGACCATCGCCAAGCAGCTTGGTGAGAAGGTGACAACAGTTGGTGCGATTATTCGCAAATGGAAGAAACACAAAATAACTGTCAATCTCCCTCGGCCTGGGGCTCCATGCAAGATCTCACCTCATGGAGTTGCAATGATCATGAGAACGGTGAGGAATCAGCCCAGAACTACACAGGAGGATCTTGTCAATGATCTCAAGGCAGCTGGGGCCATAGTCACCAAAAAAAACAATTGGTAACACACTACACCGTGAAGGACTGAAATCCTGCAGCGCCCGCAAGGTCCCCCTGCTCAAGAAAGCACATATACAGGGCCGTCTGAAGTTTGCCATTGAACATCTGAATGATTCAGAGGAGAACTGGGTGAAAGTGTTGTGGTCAGATGAGACCAAAATCGAGCTCTTTGGCATCAACTCAACTCGCCGTGTTTGGAGGAGGAGGAATGCTGCATATGACCCCAAGAACACCATCCCCACCATCAAACATGGAGGTGGAAACATTATGCTTTGGGGGTGTTTTTCTGCTAAGGGGACAGGACAACTTCACCGCATCAAAGGGATGATGGACGGGCCATGTACCGTCAAATCTTGGGTGAGAACCTCCTTCCCTCACCCAGGGCATTGAAAATGGGTCGTGGATGGGTATAACAGCATGACAATGACCCAAAACACACGGCCAAGGCAACAAAGGAGTGGCTCAAGAAGAAGCACATTAAGGTCCTGGAGTGGTCTAGCCAGTCTCCAGACCTTAATCCCATAGAAAATCTGTGGAGGGAGCTGAAGGTTCGAGTTGCAAACGTCAGCCTCGAAACCTTAATGACTTGGAGAAAATCTGCAAAGAGGAGTGGAACAAAATTCCTCCTGAGTTGTGTGCAAAACTGGTGGCCAACTACAAGAAACGTCTGACCTCTGTGATTGCTAACAAGGGTTTTGCCACCAAGTACTAAGTCATGTTTTGCAGAGGGGTCAAATACTTATTTCCCTCATTAAAATGCAAATAAATTTATAAAATTTTTGACATACGTTTTTCTGGATTTTTTTGTTGTTATTCTGTCACTCACTGTTCAAATAAACCTACCATTAAAATTATAGACTGATCATGTCTTTGTCAGTGGGCAAACATACAAAATCAGCAGGGGATCAAATACTTTTTTCCCTCACTGTAACCATTCTCATATATTTCCTTTTTCAGACGCTTTAGCTACAAACACAGTTAAATGTGCTGCTTCAGTAAGCTGGTATCTACAATATGCCCTGCTATTACAGGAACATGATTTGATGTCTTGTTTAGCACTCAATAGGTTTAGGTTTATTTGTACATATTGGTACATATGCAAAAACATACAGAAAATGTGATGTCTTACACAAACAGGTAACAAACATGTAATCTGCCAGGGGGCTTAATGTTTTTCATCTTGGTCAATAATGATCCCCTAAAAGTCTAAGCCTTTCTTTCGGTGGGGGGTTTGTACTAAGCTAACATATGGAATTGTTTTAAGATGGTCATGAGAGACAAGAGACTTGATTCCACTGATATGTCATGTTGACATGTTGACTATGTCACTTATTTCCATCCTGTAAACTATTTAGATAAAAGCAGGATGTACACAGAATTAGAGGAACGGGGAAAAAAAACTTACTATTCATACTTCTCTACTGCTCCTGTAGCCAACTTCTCTATTTTCTGCAATAGTTCACTCACTCATCACACATTGAAGGTTAGAAAGCTCGAACCACAGATGAAATGGAGTTCCCTAGTTTCTTTCTAAGTATCTCTGCTAGAACCACTGTGCTGGGGTGGGCTATATCATCTGATCAGCACTATTGTTGGCTAGCTGAATCATCTAGTTAGCTAGACTATGCTGTCAAAACAAGCAAACTAGTCTTTACTTGATTAGAATTTGTTCTGGTACTCACAAACAGTCAAACTGCAGTTGACCATTTCCCTGTCCCTGACGCCGAGAAAAAAACATGACCACTTTGAGGAAGTGATGCAATAATGGTGAATAGAGATACTGCTGTATGGTGAGAAACGTATGGACCTGAGACACTCTGACAGAGGAGAGAAAGAGAGCGAGAAAGAGAGAGAGGACAATGGCTGATGTCTATCATTCATTTTTGGGACTGCTTGTGACTGTTTTGTACCTGCTAACAGGTAAGACAGAGGAGAGAGAGAATAACAATACTATTTATTAAGAGATAATCACTCACATTCAACACGGAAAACCATCAATCTGAGGAGTACACCTGTGATGAATTTCAAGTGACTCTGTGAACTATAATGTAATCTGTATTACCAGTGAATAATCATTTGATGCCATTCTCTTGTCAGGTGTCAGTGGAAACACTCTTCCTCTGTACTCCATTGTTGGAGGTGATGTCAGTCTGCCGTGTAACAATGTGATTTATCCAAACTGCTCCTCAACTACATGGAACTATGGATCTATTGAAGAAGTTGGTCATGGGAGGGTGAAAAAGGAAAAACAGAACAACAGAGCAGACAGACTGAGTTCAGGGTCTGACTGTTCTCTACATTTTAGTGATGTCAGAGCTGAGGATGCTGGATTCTACACCTGTCGACAGTTCCTTACAAAGGGTGGACCACAATATGGAGGTGATGCTCATGTTCATCTGTCTGTTCTAACTAGTGAGTATTACTGTTTAAATCAGAGCTGTGCAAAAGTGTAGTGTTGATAGTCATATTAAACATGAGCAGTACATACTGAAAGATTATGCAAGTATTATTTTTTCTCTTTCTCAGTGTCCTCGTCCTCACCAGTCACAGATATAAAACCTGATAGACCAGTAACATTAAGGTGCTCTCTGCACACCCTCAATGGACCTGGCAGATGTGCCCCAGGCATGAACCAAGATGTTAGTCTGAGCTGGCAGAGGGTGGATGAGGCAGATACTGAGCTGATTGAGGCAGGTACTAATCTGCAGGGAGACTCCAGATACCAGGTCACACAGCCGTCTCACTGTGACATCACTCTGAATATGACACTCCAGAGGGAGGACAACAACAGGAAGTGGAGGTGTCAGATGACTGGAAAAGTGGAAATCTTCCTGGATTTCACCTTTAAGTTCTCAGGTAGGGATTCTATATTCTATATCTCCCACTTGTATGTATATTGTGTAGTAAATACTACATCTGCCTTATTAACCACCTGATAAAATGATGTGATTAAACAGCTCCGCATCCCCTCCCAGGTTCTCCACTAAACCAGACCCTCCTCCTAACTGTATCTGTTGGAGCAGCTGTGTGTGTCGCTGCTGCTGTCATCATTGTACACAGAAGAAGAGCAAGTAAGTACAGACATTCATCGTTTTTCTTTGAGTTGAATGGAATATAATAATAAAACACACATGGAGCAAATTGTTCCTCTGTATCAATTCTTCTGATGTCTTTCTTTGTTCTTTTCAGATAATCAAGTGCCAAATGATAACAGCATTGTGAGTAACAAAGACATATTATTGGTGTACAATGGCTTAATTAACACTGTTAGTGTATTATACTATTGTTGTAGTAAAATAACTAAGAGGTTCCACTATATTTATGTTAATTGAGTACCATTGTTACTCATTAATGTAGGGTCTGAATGCAATAAACCACTCCACCCCACCAACCAATGAGGACAAGGTTAGTGCATTAACACGTTCATTTAATTTCATTTTAACCAGTTGTTATCACGCATTGAGACTAATGATTCAGATTTCAATAACAATTTTGGTACTTGTAGTGTCAACCTGCTGACAGTATCACCTATGCCTCCATCCTCCACTTCAACCAAAATCTGCCTCAGAGAGTTGATGTAAGTGAAGCTATACTGTACATATTGTAATATTATGACTCTCCCTCCTATAAACAGTTTGAAGTCTTTACTTTGGTGTGTGCGTGTGTGTGCGTTTTGCTTGCTCGGATACTTTATCTGAGATTGATGCGTCTTTCTGTTGGTGTGCGTCTCGGTCAAATAAATTATCAATATTTTATTTCAATGGGCAAGGAGGTACGGGCCCGGTCCGCCCTACCGTACCTCCTTGCCTGTCCAAATAAAATATTGATAATTTATTTGACCGAGACATGCGCAGACAGAATGACACATCAATCTCAGATAAAGCATCCGAGAATGCGAAACAGCATTCTGGACAAAAGGAGTATGGCATATCATACTTTTTCTGGTCAGACAGGATCACATACATGGGCTAAATATTGTTAGACAGAGGGGTGCTGTTTCAGCAGAGAGGAAGAGGTGAAGCGAGAGGGCTCACTCTCGCCAAAATCTGTCCTGAATAAGCCCAATGCGTTTCTATGGGCATAATATGCAGACCTTTAGCTTGTCACCTGCATTCCCGCCTTTGGGACAACGACTAGCATTGTTAGGGTGGAGACGTGAGCATCTCGTCATTATACTGATCTCTGGTTACAGCCAACTTGCTAATTAGAAAGGAAAGTTGGCGGATGCAGAGTGCACTGTTCAGATGCTGGCTTCCCCTAATTCAAAATACTTTACCAAAGAGCTTGACTTAGCCACAGAGGATCATTAGCTTATTTAAAAGAAATAGCTGTGGATTGTTTCAAATCACAAGTGCATAAAGGCTTATGCCTATTTGGGAAGCTCGCGTGGCGTTAGGCTGAGCTTATTGAGTTGGGAGTGAAAAGCATCTAAAATGTGGGAAGAGCATAATTTTAAATGTTGAGACAAGAAGAAGGGCAGCGGTGTGTGGCGAAGATATGGGCGTCTTTCTCCAGAATGCAGGCACTCAACTCTCCAGAATGTGCTCCGCTGTCTCCAGCCAATTCTTTTACATTCATTGTTTCATTGTGTGAATCGTTTGCCCTTTGATTGTTTATTTTGATAAATTCCCCATTACATACAGTGCATTCGGAAAGTATACCCCTTCCCTTTTTCCACTTTGTGTTACAGTACGTTACAGCCTTATTCTAAAATTGATTACATTAAAAAATCAATCTACACACAATACCCCATAATGACAAAGCGAAAACAGGTTTTGATTTTTTTTAGCAAAGTTATACAAGTAAAAAACAGAAATACTCGATTTACATAAGTATTCAGACCATTTGCTATGAGACTCGAAATTGAGCTCAGGGGCATCCTGTTTCCATTGATCATCCTTGAGATGTTTCTACAACTTGATTGGAGTCCACCTGTGGTAAATTCAATTGATTGGACATGATTTGGAAAGGAACACACCTGTCTATATACTGTAAGGTCCCACAGTTGACAGTGCATGTCAGAGCAAAAACCAAGCCATGAGGTCGAAGGAATTGTCCATAGAGCTCTGAGACAGGATTGTGTCAAGGCACAGATCTGGGGAAGGGTACCAAAACATTTCTGCAGCATTTAAGGTCCATAAGAACACAGTGGCCTCCATCATTCTTAAATGGAAGAAGTTTGGAACCACCAAGACTTTTCCTAGAGATGGCCGCCCGGCCAAACTGAGCAATCGGGGGAGAAGGACCTTGGTCAGGGAGGTGACCAAGAACCCAATGGTCACTCTGACAGAGTTCCAGAGTTCCTCTGTGGAGAAGGGAGAACCTTTCAGAAGGACAACCATCTCTGCAGCACTCCCCCAATCAGGCCTTTATGGTAGAGTGGCCAGACGGAAGCCACTCCTCAGTAAAAGGCACATGACAGCCCACTTGGAGTTTGCGAAAAGGAGCCTAAAGGACACTCAGACCATGAGAAACAAGATTCTGTGGTCTGATGAAACCAAGATTGAACTCTTTGGCCTGAATGCCAAGCGTCACGTTTGGAGGACACCTGGCACCATCCCTACAGTGAAGCATGGTGGTGGCATCATCATGTTGCGGGAATGTTATTCAGTGGCTGAGAATGGGAGACTAGTCAGGATCGAGGAAAGATGAACAGAGCAAAGTACAGAGAGAACCTTGATGAAAACCTGCTCCAGAGCGCTCAGGACCTCAGACTGGGGCGAAGGTTCACCTTCCAACAGGACAACGATCCTTAGCACACAGCCAAGATAACACAGGAGTGGCTTCGGGACAAGTCTCTGAATGTCCTTGAGTGGCCCAGCCAGAGCCCGGACTTGAACCCGATCGAACATCTCTGGAGAGACCTGAAAATAGCTGTTCAGCGATGCTCCCCATCCAACCTGACAGAGCTTGAGAGGATCTGCAGAGAAGAATTGGAGAGACTCCCCAAATACAGTTGTGGCAAGCTTATAGCGTCATACCCAAGAAGACTCGAGGTTGTAATCGTTGCCAAAGGTGCTTCAACAAAGTACTGAGTAAAGGGTCTGAATACTTATGTAAATGAAAAACCTGTTTTTGCTTTGTCATTATGGGGTATTGTGTGTAGATTAATGAGGGGAAAAAAACAATTGAATCCATTTAAGAATAAGGCTGTAACGTAACAAAATGTGGAAAAAGTCAAGGGGTCTGAATACTTTCCGAATGCACTGTGTGTAACCAGTACGCATAGTAAATGTACTGTTGATCCCCATCATCTGCTTACATTAATTACTGTTACTGCATTAGTAATTTACCATTCTCATTCTCAGAGTGGAAACATTGTTTGCAGAGTTCATGACCTGCTACACTTGTGAGAAACAAGTACTGGTTTATTTCATAACCATAATTTAGGAGGTTTATACATTTTGTGTGGTTTCTCTGTCCTGATAATATTGAGGGAGCGAGTGCCTGAGCATGCCAACATGCATAGTTGATACAATGTTGCACTTCACTAGAGATAGCTCAAGTCAAGACAGACAGGTGAGTAGAGAGATTATTGCGATTGAAAGAACCTGCATTTTTATCAGGATATTTTCTACTGTTTTAATTTCTCAGCTTTAGGCGTACATATTTTGACTTAGTTGATGATGGAAGTTATAGGCTTACTGCTGCATTGGCTTATAGGCTATTTCTGAGTACCATGTGCAATAATTGTTTTTGCAGCAATGGATCACAGTGTATATATGTGTCCATATGGTAATGCTCTTGCATTAGTTGAATTTTTACTTTTAGATTTTTATCATTTTAATTCAGATTTGTGTGATTAACCACGTGACAATACTTTTAAGAAACTAAAACACTACTTTTGAAATTAAACTGTTCCGTGAAAATGCGCTTATAAAAATAATCCTAACTGGCATGCAGATAGTTAGACATGGTAGAATAAATTGTAAGCGTCCCCAAACTTTATCTCAGGTTCCCATAGTAATAGTACTCATTATAACATCTATGCATATGATCATCCATCATAACTGTGATAAGAGGGTATTAAAAAATGAGTGTTTGAGTAGTGTTCGGATTTACTACGTTGGTGGGGACGTGTCTTATCTAACTAAAATTACGGGTATTAGAGGAATGTTCCATTAAACTGTTAGTTTTGCTTGATATTAGGATAGAGGTTGCCTGGTGCTTTATACCTGGATGGGATAGTTAAATTTGAATGTCTTGCTATTGGAGGGAGTATGGAGAGTAGGGTTGTTTGCGTAGTTCGCTGAGTTTTGCCATGAGTAAGAAGATTTTCTGTAACCAATGTTGTTAGACGAGTATGTGATGCTGAACAGGCTACTGGTGGTTTATGTGAGATTTTTGAAGGATTGGGCGTGAATGACATTGGAGGAGTATACTTGAGTGTATTTTTATAAGTAGTTAGTATGGTCATATCATCTGGTCTTGCGTATTGCACAATTGCCTATGGTCTTTATTATAACACCCAAGGACATCCACACAGGAGGTCCTGTGGAAAAAACTGGCCCACCTATAGAAATCAAATGCCCATCCAACTGATTCATTCTGGTGCCCTGTTGTGTGTGTGTATTTTTTGTTTTACTATCCTTGTGGAGACCAGAAGTCCTCACAAGGATAGTAAAACAAGGACAATTTGGACAAATGGGGACTTTTTGCCAGTCCCCACAAGGAAAGAGGCTATTTTAGGGTTAGGGTTAGGGGTGAGGGGTTAGAGTTAAGGTTAGGGTTAGGGAAAATAAGTCCCCACAACGATAGTAAAACTAATATGTGTGTGTGCGTGTGTGTGTGTTGTCACTGTAGGTCCAGGATGAAGATGCAGTGACCTATTGCTCTGTTATGCCCTCTTCTACCAGAGAGACAGAGAACCCTGCTGACCCCAGCTCTACTCCACAGCCAAGACATCAACATGAAGACTACACTCAGTCTTTCACAGCCTAATCTCAGCACCCAGAACCAAATATCTTGTGAATGCTGGCCAGCTACTCTATTTGGTTCAGGAACAGTTGATGGTCATTATGGCCAAACAGTTATATTTTTGTTTGATCAGACCAGAGGACATTTCTCCAAAAAGTACGATCTTTGTCCCCATGTGCAGTTGCAAACTGTAGTATTGTTTTTTTATGGCGGTTTTGGAGCAGTGGCTTCTTTCTTGCTGAGCGGCCTTTCAGGTTATGTTGATATAGGACTCGTTTTACTGTGGTTATAGATAATTTTGTACCCATTTCCTCCAGCATCTTCACAAGGTCCTTTGCTGTTGTTCTGGGATTGATTTGCACTTTTCGCACCAAAGTACGTTCATCTCTAGGAGACAGAATGTGTCTCCTTCCTGAGCGGTATGACGGCTGCGTGGTCCCATGGTGTTTATACTTGCATACTATTGTTTGTACAGATGAACGTGGTACCTTCAGGCGTTTGGAAATTGCTCCCAAGGATGAACCAGACTTGTGGAGGTCTACACATTTTTTTCTGAGGTCTTGGTTGATTTCTTTTGATTTTCCCATGATGTCAAGCAAAGAGGCACTGAGTTTGAAGGTAGGCCTTGAAATACATCCACAGGTACACCTCCAATTGACTCAAATTATGTCAATTAGCCTATCAGAAGCTTCTAAAGCCATGACATCATTTTCTGGAATTTTCCAAGCTGTTTAAAGGCACAGTCAACTTAGTGTATGTAAACTTCTGAACCACTGGAATTGTGATACAGTGAATTATTAGTGAAAAGATCTGTCTGTAAACAATTGTGGAAAAATTACTTGTGTCATGCACAAAGTAGATGTCCTAACCGACTTGCCAAAACTATAGTTTGTTAACAAGAAATTTGTGGAGTGGTTGAAAAAGTATATGTAAACTTCCGACTTCAACTGTATGTGTTATTTCATAGTTTTGATGTCTTCACTATTATATATACAGTATATATTAAGGGTTTTATTTATTTCATTGAGATAGGACAGTGAGTTAGGGCAGTGAAGGTAGGAGAGTTTGCGAGTCAGAAGGGCATGGTTGGGATTAGAGCCCATGCTGACTTTGGTAACCGAGGCTGTACATGTGAAGAGAACTGCTGGATCATACAGGACACTAAGATGTGTTTTTAATTATGATTACTAGATGGATAAGGTAGAACACTGGTGTTATGTTTTCTTTTAGTATGTAGCACAATAGCAGCTTCTTAGACAAACATATTTTAGCTCTGCTGATAACAAACTCATGGCATTTTTTTTCCTGCATTAATCATGTTTAAAATTATATTGACTAAAGTGAGTTAATAAAATGGAAATAAATCAGATCTGAATGTTTCATTTTCATTCACTCCAGAGTTTCACAGAGTACAACAACATTGTATTGCCTAATTGGGGGTTTATTCTGTCATTTACTGTCTTTGTAAGTAGGAGGCAGGATAATTCTCAAATGTGAAATAGACTACCTGCTAGCTAGGCTATATCGTAGTTCGCTCTTTCCATATTGATATATAGATTTTCTATTGTGTTATTGACTGTATGTTTTGTTTTATCCCATGTGTAACTCTGTGTTGTTGTTTTTATCGCACTGCTTTGCTTTATCTTGGCCAGGTCGCAGTTGTAAATGAGAACTTGTTCTCAACTGGCTTACCTGGTTAAATAAAGGTGAAATAAAAAAATAAAAAATAAAAATGATTCTCTTTTCGTTTTGTTCTACTGAGAATCGGTTGCCACAATGAAGCAGAATATTTATTCTAAAAATACGAAAAATCGTGGTTTTTGATGTCTTGCGAAGGCTACGCTGCAGCCAGGGACGGCTCTAGCCTATTGGGTGATTTGGTTGGGGGGGCCCCCACCAAGCAGGCACAAATGTTTAGTGGCCCCCCTCTTGGAGGTGGAGAGATTTCCTGCAATTCTACACATTTTGCCATGGGTGTAGAGGGAATGTTGCAGTTTTAAAGGACATTTATTGGCAGTTCTAAACATTTTGCCATGGGGAAGAGAGACATGTTTGCAGTTTTAAAGATAATTTCCTGCAATTCTGCACATTTTGCCATGACTTTTGCCATGTTAATGATATCTGAGTAAGAATGACTAACAAAATCAATACAAGCCCCCTGGAGGTCAGGACCCAGGACCCCTGAGCATGTGCCCTGTGTTGCCGGTCGTGATTTGGACATGATTATTACAAGTTTAGATAACTGGCTAAACTAACTTACCAATCTAAAAATGGTTAGCTGACATGGCTAATTTAGTGACTGTCGGTGACTAACAAAACAAGAGAAAAACAGCTGATAAACAGGCAAATTTCAAACTTGCACCTTGTGTATTCTACTATTCTAACTCTCAACATTAAGTTGAGACACTGAGTTCCTTTTTTTATTTGTTTTGGAAGCCCTCTAGCGTCCAGGAACGCTCCACCCCGCCCGGCGTGAAGCTCAGCTGCAGGTAAATGTGAAAAAGGGACTAGTCTGTGATGTCATTTCAAAGTAAGGCTGTAGGCTACAGTCCTTTTATTTGCAATGTCAATGGGAAGAACTAAAAACAGTGTAGGCTACTGTAAACTAGGGTGTCAAATGCTTAAAATTCCAATCACATTTGAGTTTGTCATATAAAGTCAGAGTAGGTCTACAGAAAGATCTCTGACAGTCAGATGCTTTTTCTAGGAGGACTGACGTAGCCTACCTACCTGCGCTGCTGACTAGAAGAAGGTTGTAAATAAAATAAGGTCATTGCATTCATGCTTTACCATATATTGTGGAAGTGTATAGTAAAAAAAAACACACCTGTACTGTACTGACAATGAGTTAGATATATTTAATTTGTATTAGTTTATTTAAAAACAGTTTCAGAAATTCATTAAAATTTTAGAAAAGACATTGTGCTCATTAAAAAATTGGATTAGGAAAAAAAATATATTGATAAAGTAAATTAGAATTTCTCTATGCTGACTTCATTCACAATGGACAGAAAATAAAAAACAAACGTATCATTCACACATCAGCCATGCTTTGCTTAATTGATGTCTGCACCCCTACTGCATGCAATAAACATAAATAAACAAAAAGACGTGTAAAATAGATACTAAAGATACTAAAAGATGAGAATACAACTATTAATACATCTTCCAACACACTCTACTCTATCATAGATGAACATCAGCTTTAGAAAACATTTATAATATCCTCTGTTACTAAATCAATAAAGCTACAGACAGTTTGAAAGTCTTAGTCCAGCACAGTGAGAAGAGTGAGGAACAAGGGGTCATTCCTCCAGGACCTGAAGCTCAATACCAGAGGCTTCTTCTATACAGAGAACAAAACAACAACACACACATCAGACAACATGTCTCACCATTCATTCTATAGCAGACTGTAAAGATGAAATAATTAATAGGGGTTTAGATGGACAAGATGATTATGTCAAAGGACTATTTATAACCTGATACCATTTCTGTTCACACATCTGAAGATCAGAATATGTGAATGTAATTTGTTGTATGCTCCATATGTTCTATGGATTGATGGAACCATTCATAATGTTTAGGTCTATCCAGTCTTTTCAGATCTGTGAACACTGATGTTGTGGGAGGAGTTAAGAACCTAAATGGAACTGGACCAATGCCTGTGACTCTCACCTGCTTGTGGGTGCAGAGCCTTGGGTGGGAGGTTCCTCCTTGTTGTGTGAATAGTGACTATGGCAGCCATGACGGTCAGAGTCACAAAGAGCATGATGCGACTGATGGGCAACTTAACAGCATTACTGGTACCTGGACAATGAGACAGACAGTGATTAAAAACAGACAATCATTTAGATTGATTTATATGAAAGTAAAGTTTGTATCACACAACAGTCACTAGAGGATACTGAAGACCAATATCCATTAGCCAAACACCTCTACAACTTCACCTCTGTCTGATCACGAAAGATCTAGCTTAGCGTTTTCATTCGTGCCTAATGGATTACTTTGATTGTTCAGACCATCCACTAAATAACTTGGAGTCTTGTTTTTTCTAAGTTAAAAATAGAACATGAACATGAACCTGCATCCGTTTAGCCCCGGACAGGAGTCAATGAGACGAGATATGGAATGATGGCCACGGGAAACTAACATCCATCAAACCCCAGCCAAAACAGTCACTCTATGTCTCAGTCCCCATAGTAACACCAAAGGCCACTGTTCCCACGGTATCTTTCTGTGTTGTTGTTGCAAAATCCTTTTTGAAGGTATGAAATGACTAGCTATATTCTTTTTAGGGTGAGGTAAGATGCTGTGGTCAAATTAAAAGACAACCCATTACCTATTTTTATCCGTCTCTGGTCAGCCTCAGAAAAACAGAAGTGGTCTGAGCTGAAAGAACCACTGAGAGAAGGACCAGTTGCAGGCATAGACATACTTACAGTGGGGGAAAAAAGTATTTAGTCAGCCACCAATTGTGCAAGTTCTCCCACTTAAAAAGATGAGAGAGGCCTGTAATTTTCATCATAGGTACACGTCAACTATGACAGACAAATTGAGAAAAAAAGATCCCGAAAATCACATTGTAGGATTTTTAATGAATTTATTTGCAAATTATGGTGGAAAATAAGTATTTGGTCACCTACAAACAAGCAAGATTTCTAGCTCTCACAGACCTGTAACTTCTTCTTTAAGAGGCTCCTCTGTCCTCCACTCGTTACCTGTATTAATGGCACCTGTTTGAACTTGTTATCAGTATAAAAGACATCTGTCCACAACCTCAAACAGTCACACTCCAAACTCCACTATGGCCAAGACCAAAGAGCTGTCAAAGGACACCAGAAACAAAATTGTAGACCTGCACCAGGCTGGGAAGACTGAATCTGCAATAGGTAAGCAGCTTGGTTTGAAGAAATCAACTGTGGGAGCAATTATTAGGAAATGGAAGACATACAAGACCACTGATAATCTCCCTCGATCTGGGGCTCCACGCAAGATCTCACCCCGTGGGGTCAAAATGATCACAAGAACGGTGAGCAAAAATCCCAGAACCACACGGGGGGACCTAGTGAATGACCTGCAGAGAGCTGGGACCAAAGTAACAAAGCCTACCATCAGTAACACACTACGCCGCCAGGGACTCAAATCCTGCAGTGCCAGACGTGTCCCCCTGCTTAAGCCAGTACATGTCCAGGCCCGTCTGAAGTTTGCTAGAGTGCATTTGGATGATCCAGAAGAGGATTGGGAGAATGTCATATGGTCAGATGAAACCAAAATAGAACTTTTTGGTAAAAACTCAACTCGACGTGTTTGGAGGACAAAGAATGCTGAGTTGCATCCAAAGAACACCATACCTACTGTGAAGTATGGGGGTGGAAACATCATGCTTTGGGGCTGTTTTTCTGCAAAGGGACCAGGACGACTGATCCGTGTAAAGGAAAGAATGAATGGGGCCATGTATCGTGAGATTTTGAGTGAAAACCTCCTTCCATCAGCAAGGGCATTGAAGATGAAACGTGGCTGGGTCTTTCAGCATGACAATGATCCCAAACACACCGCCCGGGCAACGATGGAGTGGCTTCGTAAGAAGCATTTCAAGGTCCTGGAGTGGCCTAGCCAGTCTCCAGATCTCAACCCCATAGAAAATCTTTGGAGGGAGTTGAAAGTCCGTGTTGCCCAGCGACAGTCCCAAAACATCACTGCTCTAGAGGAGATCTGCATGGAGGAATGGGACAAAATACCAGCAACAGTGTGTGAAAACCTTGTGAAGACTTACAGAAAACGTTTGACCTGTGTCATTGCCAACAAAGGGTATATAACAAAGTATTGAGAAACTTTTGTTATTGACCAAATACTTAGTTTCAACCATAATTTGCAAATAAATTCATAAAAAATCCTACAATGTGATTTTCTGGATTTTTTTTTCTCATTTTGTCTGTCATAGTTGACGTGTACCTATGATGAAAATTACAGGCCTCTCTCATCTTTTTAAGTGGGAGAACTTGCACAATTGGTGGCTGACTAAATACTTTTTCCCCCCACTGTATTCAATGTACATCATTGGTTGCAGTTACATTCACCTCTGTCTGATCACTAAAGATCTAGCTTAGCGTTTTCATTCGAGCCTAATGGATTACTTTGATTGTTCAGACCATCCACTAAATAACTTTAACATGGAGTAGTGGTATTTGGCATCATAGACCAGCAGAGTGTGAACCACAAAAACTTTAACATGAAAGTTAGCCTAGCAGTAGGTAGGTAGTCTAGGCAGGTAGCCTAGCAGTTAAGAGCATTGGGCCAGTAAACCAAGGTTGCTGGTTTGAATCCCTGAGCCGACTAGCTGAAAATAGTTAATAGCAAGGCACTTAACCCTAATTGCTCCTATAAGTCACTCTGGATAAGAGTGTCTGCTACATGACTAAAAGGGAAGTTTAGTTGCATGCTCTGTGTATTGACCAAGGTAATACATCTGACTATGGCCCAATGCTGTACCACTCATACAATCTACCAATCTGCTAAATCTTTCTCCACTCCAATCTGTAGAGAACTAGACAAGCAGTACTTCCTATAAATATGTTTGGGGCTGTTTTTACGCTACCAGATTTAGACTACTGTGGAGTACTGGTGGTTGTCTTGACAGGAATCAGTTGTTCTATCAGAACTGTCTGAAAAACATGAAGTCAAGCATCTTGAGAGAGGCAAGAGGGGGCAGGGTTCATCACATTAGAAAAGGGGTGACTACAGTGAGCTAACATGAAGTCAGGAGTATCATTGTAGAAACATGGATAAAGGGACAAAGCGTGACAAGACAATAAAATGCAGATTCTCAATGATTGACTATGAAGAGTAAAGGCTTCTCTGTGGGACTCCCGTCACAACTGCTACCACTAGAGAGTGCTATTCTATCTGAAAGACCAGCAATAACCAGTACTGAGTCTGTCAGACATTGCAATACGTTTTTTTTTATAAACTGAAAAAAAGAAAAACTCTAACCATTATAGGGAAAAAACTCTAACCATTATGGGGAAAACTCTAACCATTATGGGGAAAAACTCTAACCATTTGGGGAAAAACTCTAACCATTATGGGGAAAAACTCTAACCATTATGGGGGTTCCGTGGGGCACTGGCAGGAATCAAGTACGGGTACCTCTCTAAACCCCCCCACAAATGTACATTCTATACAGAACAGATCCTATTTCTCCAGTGTACAGTATGTTAGGGTGGTAGGGTGGTTAGGGTGATAGATGTAGCCTACTTATTGATGAAATATGGGATATCTATCAGTAAATTGTCTACCTGGGAATGTAACAGTGAAATCCAGCTCAGACTAACATCTTGGTTAATGCCTGGGGCACATCTGCCAGGTCTATTGAGGGTATGCAGAGAGCACCTTAATGTTACTGGTCTATCAGGTTTTATATCTGTGACTGGTGAGGACGAGGAGACTGAGAAAGAGAAAAAATCATACTTGCATAATTTTACAGTATGTACTGCTCATGTTTAATATGACTATCAACACTACTCTTTTGCACAGCTCTGATTTAAACAGTAATACTCACCAGTTAGAACAGACAGATGAACAGGAGCATCACCTCCATGTTGTGGTCCACCCCATGTAAGGAACTGTTGACAGATGTAGACTCCAGCATCCTCAGCTCTGACATCACTAACATGTAGAGAACAGTCAGACCCTAAACTCAGTCTGTCAGCTCTGTTGTTCTGTTCTTCCTTTTTCACCCTCCCATGACCAACTTCTTCAATAGATCCATAGTTCCATATAGTTGAGGAGCAGTTTGGATAAATCACATTGGTACACGGCAGACTGACATCACCTCCCACAATGGAGTACAGAGGAAGAACGTTTCCACTGACACCTGAAAAGAGAATGGCATCAGATGATTATTTACTGGTAATAAAGATTACATTATATTTCACAGAGTCACTTAATATTAATCACAGGTGTACTTCTCTGAAGAATAGAGTAATATACTATTATACAATAGTGAAGATAAAGGTAGACAGAAACACAACAGAAATGTAAACATAACAATCGCAATATATATTTTTCTCAGTTTGATGGTTTTCTGTTTTGAATGTGAGTGATGATCTCTTAATAAATAGTATTGTTATTCTCTCTCTCCTCTGTCTTACCTGTTAGCAGGTACAAAACAGTCACAAGCAGTCCCAAAAATGAATGATGGACGTTAGCCATTGTCCTCTCTCTCTCTCTCTCTCTCTCTCTCTCTCTCCTCTATCAGAGTGTCTCAGCTCTACACATTTCTCACCATACAGCAGCATCTCTACTCACCACTATAGCATCACTTCCTCAAAGTGGTCATGATTTTTTCTCTGCGTCAGGGACAGGGAAATGGTCAACTGCAGTTCGAATGTTCGTGAGTACCATTTAATCAAGTAAAGACTAGTTTGCTTGTTTTGACAGTATAGTCTAGCTAACTAGATGATTCAGCTAGCCAACAATAGTGCTGATCAGATGATATAGCCCACCCCAGCACAGTGGTTCTAGTAAAGATACTTAGAAAGAAACTAGGGAACTCCATTTCATTTGTGGTTCGAGCTTTCTAGCCTTCAATGTGTGATGAGTGAGTGAACTATTGCAGAAAATATAGAAGTTGGCTACAGGAGCAGTAGAGAAGTATGAATAGTAAGGTTTTGTTTTCCATTCCTCTAATTCTGTGTACATCCTGCTTTTATCTAAATAGTTTACAGGATGGAAATAAGTGACATAGTCAACATGTCAACATGACATATCAGTGGAATCAAGTCTCTTGTCTCTCCAAGGACTTGGAAGGCATTCAGAGACGCTGCTGCTGCATCATTGGTACTTCCTACAACTCACTCCCAAGACCTTCAAAGTACTCCTGAACGATCACAAAATCCCTCTGCAAAACTTTAACCCCTACACAGAGACAGTATTATCTGAGGAGTTCAAGGCTAAAAGAGCTCTCAAACTATGCAAATTACATTCTCCATCACTAAAGACATTTGATAAAAACCTCAAACCAACTATACATTGTAGAAATTCATAAACAAATATTGAAAGAATTTAATGAGACAACTAAAAGATGTGCAACATGAAAATATTGTCCCATTTACATTGTGTAATTTATTTGACGGTCCCTAAATAGCCCCAGAGATGATCTATCCAATATCAACCAAATTTTGCCACGGTCGCACACCAGCCAGCTGAAGCTAATTGGCGAAAGAAGTTGGCTAGCACTAGCTAACCTAGGCGACTTCAAGACGCAAGACCTGGTTAGACTGTTTCAAATTATCTAGAAAGGTGAGTGACTGTAACTGTGTACTGTTTTGAAAGAGTGAATGTACAAACACTTGCCACGTACGAACACACACACAAGAGACACCCACATTAAACCAACCCCCCAAGATAACTCTTGTTTGGCTTCAGTCATGGCTGCTGCATTTCTTAAACCCACTAGAGTCGATGTACGCGTCCACCAGGGAAATCTATGTACCATTTATTTTTTACCATTTCAAGTTATATATTTGACCTGTTTGTGTAAGACATCACATTTTCTGTGTGTTTCTGCATATGTACCAATATGTTCAAATAAACCTAAACCTATTGAGTGCTAAACAGGACATCAAATCATGTTCCTGTAATAGCAGGGCATATTGCAGATACCAGCTTACTGAAGCAGCACATTTAACTGTGTTTGTAGCTAAAAGGTAAAAAAAAATATATACAATTTGAGAATTGTTATGTGTTTACAAACTTGATATTTACTCCTATTTATCAAAACACTTCCTCTAGTCTAAAGGCTCATATCCCACGTTGGTAATGGAGGGAATTTCAATTGTTAGAGAGGTAAATGTAACTGAAACCAAGGATGTAGCTAATCTAAAAGAAGAATGAATAGATATGTCTATGTCTGCAACTGGTTCTTCTCTCAGTGGTTCTTTCAGCTCAGACCACTTCTGTTTATCTGAGGCTGAGCAAAGAGAGAGAAAAATAGACAATTTTTGCATTTTGCAACTCAACTACATAGAACGATACATTGGGAACAGTTTCCTTTAGTGTTACTATGGGAACTGAGACACAGAGACACTGTTATTGGTTGTGGGGCTGGATGGATCTTAGTCTTGCGTGTCCATCTTTTCAAATCTCGTCTCAATGACTCGTGTGAGAAGCCTGGGCTTCCCAGGCTAGAGGTATGCAGTTTCATGTGAATGTTCTGTTTTTAACTTTTGAAAGAACAAGACTCCTCTGGTCACCAAGCCATTCAGGGAACAAATTAACACAATGTACACTACATAGTATGTGAACAATGGCGCTGGGATGTACAGACACTGTTTGACAGGCTCCTGACGATTTCTTTCTACATAATGTTTACGCAATCGTTTCCTATGACCGAAAAGAGCTTCTGGACATCAGAACAGCAGTCAATATCCTCGATTTGGATGAAGACTTGTACTTCAATGAGTCTTCTGTGCAAGAGCCCTAATCCCATGACACTCGGAAGAGAAAAAGACAGTGCTATAGAGGCCGCCGTGCGGGCACTCTGATGAAACTATGTCGGCAAGTTGATAGACCGCCTCCACCCTCCATTTTATTGGCGAACGTACAATCTCTGGAGAATAAGCTGGACAAGCTCTGTTCGACACTCCTCTCAATGGGACATTAAGAACAGTAATATACTATCCATCTCGGAATCATGGCTGAACAAGGACAAGGACAATATACAGTTAGCTGCGTTTTCTGTGCATCGGCAGGACAAATCGGCAGCGTCCGATAAGCTCAGCAGGGGTGGGGTGTGTCACTTTGTTACCAACAGCTGGTGCGCAATCTCAAATTTTAAGGAAGTCTCGATGTTCTGCTCGCCTGTTAGAATACCTCATAATAAGCTGTAGACCATACCATTTACTAAGAGAGTTTTCATCTATATTTTTCATAGCTGTCTATTTACCACGACAAACTGATGCTGGCACTAAGACCGCACTCAACGAGCTGTACAGGGCCATAAGCAAACAAGAAAATGCTCATCCAGAGGCGCCACTCCTAGTGGCTGGTGATATTGTTGCAGGAAAATTGAAATCTGTTTCACCTAATTTCAACCAGCCTATGCAACTAGAGGAAAAAAATACTTTAGATCACATTTACTTCACACACAGAGACACATACAAAGCTCTCCCTTGCCCTCCATTTGGTAAATTTGACCATAACTATCCTACTGTTTCCTGCTTAAAAGCAAAAACTCAAACAGGAAGTACTAGTGGTCCAGTATGGAGGTGGTCCAATGAATCGGATGCTAAACTACAGGACTGTTTCACTTGCACAGACTGGAATATGTTCCGGGATTCATCCGATGGCATTGAGAAGTTTACCACATCAGTCACTGAAGGTACCAATCCCAAACAGAAGTCATGGATTACAGGCAACATCAACATCCGCACCGAGCTAAAGGCTAGAGCTGCCGCTTTCAGAGAGCAGGACACTAATCCAGACTCTGATAAGAAATCCCGCTACGCCCTCCGACAAACCAACAGGCAAAGCATCAATACAGGACTAAGATCGAATCCTACTACACCGGATCTGATGCTCGTTGGACGCGGCAGGGCTTGCAAACCATCATGGATTACAAAGGGAAACCCAGCCATGAGCTGCCCAGTGACACGAGTCTACCAGTTGATCTAAATGCCTTATATGCTCGCTTCGAGTCAAGCAACACTGAACCATGAACAAGAGCACCAACTGTTCCGGACGACTGTGTGATCACGCTCTCCGTAGCCGATGTGAGTAAGACCTTTAAACAGGTTAACATTCACAAGGCTGCAGGGCCAGACGGATTACCAAGACGCGTACTCAGAGCACGCGCTGACCAGCTGGCAAGTGTCTTTACTGACATTTTCAACCTCTCCCTGACCCAGTCTGTAATACCTGCATTTTTCAAGCAGACCACCATAGTCCCTGTGCCCAAGAACACCATGGTAACCTGTCTAAATGACTACCGCCCTGTAGCACCACATCTGTAGTCATGAAATGCTTTGAAAGGCTGGTCATGGCTCACATTAACACCATCATCCCAGACACTCTGGACCCACTCCAATTCGCATACCGCCCCAACACATCAACATATGACGCAAATCTCTATTGTTCTCCAACCTGCCCTTTTCCACCTGGACAAAAGGAACACCTACGTGAGAATACTGTTCATTGACTAAATCTCAGCGTTCAACACCATAGTGCCCTCCAAGCTCATCACTAAGCTCAGGACCCTGGGACTGAACACCTCCCTCTGCAACTGGATCTTGGACTTCATGACGGGCCGCAGTATGATGTACTGGACCCTCAAATTGTCAAAATGTTCTACAGGTGCACCATTGAGAGTGTCTTGACTGGCTGCATCTCCGCTTGGTATTGCAACTGCTCAGCATCCGACCACAAGGTGCTACAGAGGGTTATGCGTACGGCCCAGTACATCACTGGGGTCAAGCTCCCTGCCATCCAGGACCTCTATACCAGGCGGTGTCAGACCAAGGCCATAAAAATCATCTAAGACTCCAGCCACCCAAGACATAGACCGTTCTCTCTGCTACCGCATGGCAAGCGGTACCGGAGCGCCAAGTCTGGGACCAAAAGTATCTTGAACAGCTTCTACCCTCAAGCCATAAGACTGCTGAACAGTTAATCAAATGGCGACCCAGACTATTTACATTGACCCCTGTTTATTATGTATTCTTATTGCCTAGTCGCTTTTACCCCTACCTACATGTACATGTAGTGGGGAAAAAAAGTATTTAGTCAGCCACCAATTGTGCAAGTTCTCCCACTTAAAAAGATGAGAGAGGCCTGTCATTTTCATCATAGGTACACGTCAACTATGACAGACAAA